AGCAGCTAAAGAAAAAAAAAATCTAAAGAACAAAGTCTTACATTAGCTCCAATGTAAAGCCTGACTCCTACAGATAGCCAATGGCTAGCAACTCTGGGCTCCTAAAGGTTCCTCTCCCCCATTCCTTGTTGGTAAGGCTCTTACTCACAGGAGGCCCTTAGAATCCTGATATCTAATCAGATCAGCAACATTTGCATGAATCAACCCTGCTCTGTTCACCAAAAGACTACAGGAGGACCTACTTGCATAAAACTAGGGTTGGAAAGGCATCAAAAAGCCGAGCGCTAGAAAACTCAATCCACCAAAACATATAATGGAAAATGTGAGCCAATGAACTAATTTTTTAAAAAAGATGCACGTGTATATTAAGCAAGTGCCCAAAGATCCCCAGATTCAAGAGTTTTGTTATTTTATCTGTTGTTTCTCCCTGTTTACTGATCAATTATGATTGCTTTGATATAGTCATCTTACTTTACTGACACTTCAAGGAAACCCACTTTAAAGAAACAGAAAACATAAATAAAATAATGAACTTCCCTTTAAAGAATCAAAACAATTCATAAATGTAAAAGAAGCCTAACAGCATAATAGCTAAAATATACTACCTGAAAGAGTAACGATTCCCTTGGGTTGAGGTTGAAACCGCAAATATTTGTTACAAAAGTCGGGAGATTCAAGAGCCAGAAACAAAACATTGCCCAAAAAATAACCTGCTGTTTGGCCCACCGAATTGCAAGTGGAAGCATAACCCACATTTTCCCGAGATAACATAGTTAACGCCCAACCATCCACCGCGATGTCCTGAGTGGCGGCCAGAAATTCAAACAAAAAGAATGTCACTGTGAGAGCAACCACATCTGGCGTTCTGCCATCAGTATTCCCGAGCAAATGATCCACTTGAGTGGATAAAAATATCATGAAGAGTCCTAATATATACTGTGTAGGGACAAGCCAAGATTTTCGGCGACCGAAATTCTTGAAGTAAACTGCATCAACCAATGGCGCCCAGAGCAACTTGAGACTAAAGGGCCAAAAGACAAAACTGAAGAAAGCTTGATCTGTATAGCTAACATTTTTGCTCTGCAAAATGAGTGGGATGCTCCCCGCTAGGCCTAAGGGGATGCCCTGAAGCACGTAAAGAAAGAGCAGTAGCAAAACGCTGCCAATTTCAGCTCGACAGCTCCGTGGGGATTTCAAGAAGTCACCAATGTCAGCGTTCCTCAGAAGCGCTTCTCTGTCCTCTTCCCCGCCCACCGAGTCTGACTGATTGTCATCCCAGCTGCCCGGCGGCAGAGGGCCGGTTTTCATATCCAGGGAATGGTTGAAAGTCCCGGGCCGCCGTTGGCGACTGTTGTCCTTGTGGGAGACGGTGGGCGACATATCAGCGACGATGCAGAGTCCCGTCTGTGGCGGGCCGAGGTTGAGCGTTTTGGATCTGTTCTAGTCCCAAGTCCAAGGGCAGTCGCTCTGGACCAGGGTCTCGGTGGCTTGAAGAGCGGGGACAAGGCGTGGAGCGACAAGGGCACTTCTTACTGTGGTCCAGAGTGCTGAAGCAGGGAGCCAGTCCCCTGGTTGGTGGCCCAGGCAGTGCCTGGGTAGGTGCCCCTGGAAACCGCTTCAAAGAAGCAGACCGAGGCTCCCCGGCAGCGGCGCCGGGCTCAGGACTGGACAAGGGGGCCGTGGTGCTGCGAGGAAAACCTGCTTCTAACTGCGGAGGACCGAAGGAGGGCGACCAAAAGGCCTAGCTCCCAACCCACTAACAGCTCTCGCCGCCACCAGTGCGGCAGACAGCACTTTCTCCACCGGACTCCAGAGGTACCAGACAACTTCCTGCCTCGCGCTTCAGGAAGTGATTCCCGCCTCAAATTGGTTCCCGCCTCAAATAGGTCCCCGCGTTGCCTCTGGAGCAAGCCAATCAGGATGCGCTGTAGCCGAGCTGAGAAACAGCGCTCAGTAGGAACCCTTCATCCGGGGACCTGAACCTTGGAGGAAGCTTAGCTCCGACGTACCGGGCGCACCGGGCACTCCAGCTCTGAGAGCGCGGTGCCCGGCTGGCCGGCGTGGGCTTCGGTCATTGGCGGGGGTTGCCACGTGACGGCGCTAGCGGCGGAATGGCGAGCCGCAGCCGGTGAGGCTCTGGGAGGCGCGGAGCATGTTGCTCGTCCTTCGGGGAAAGGCGAGGCCAAACTCTAGGCTGCGAAATGGGAGACACAGTTGTTCTTGTGGGCTGGGCAGCTAGAAAGGATAGAAGGCTGAGCAGTTCCGGTATCAGGAGGCCTCTGCTGAGGAGTTGCCAGGTTTTGTTTTTGTGTTGTTTTGTTTTTTGTTTTTTTTTGTCCATAATTTTATTGAGAAACAAATAGAAATGAGACAGTTTTAAATCAAATTGGTAGGACAGTTTCAATAATTAACACATTGCATACATTCTTCCTAGTGGTTAATTGCTGTACAAGATGTGGACATGATATTCTATGTACAAACACCATTAGAACAAATCCCTCTCTATTCATTAAGAGAATGTATATATCCATCCTAACCACTTTGAATACACAGATACAAAATGGACATTCATCTATATACCCTTTTTTTTTTGGTAAGTTCCATTATTTGAATATTATAGGTGTGTAAACTCAGTAAAATATTCTAAAAGAGTCCAGTACTCCATAATAGTATTGGGTCTTCCGCTTGACTGGCAAGGTCAGAAATTGTTGACCTGAGTCCCCTAGAGCTCAACATAACAGCATGGCTTTACTTCTTATATTTCGTTTTTATACTTTTCTGCTGAATGGTTAAGACCAAGGTAAAGCAGGACCTATGCAACAAGAGTTGTAGCTTTTGGGTCTGATAAGGTCAGTGAAATTCCCTCAGGATTTATCCTGAGATCCTGTACCTCAGATTGTAGAACCTTTGTCAGTGTCAGCCATGTGGATGAGTCACCGCCATTGCTTGGCCAATGTGCTCTCCGTGAAAGCCTGAGAGAATGTTTTCTCTCCATGTGACTCTCGTTAGGCACACTCTACATCATCGATCACTTTCCTCTTTGGCCCCATAATCTTCTTGATCAGAAAATTAGGGACACTACTGAGTTACATGACCTTACAGTACAAGTTCTCATATGTCCTGAGTCTTAATTGACCTTGGAAGGCTAGGGCCAAATGTTGGCTTTCCTTGTGGCCCTCCTTTCTCTCTAATTAGGTCTGCAAACTTAGGTTGTTAACCATCCACAAGACAAGCTTATTGTTATTACCATACAACTTAGGCTGTTAAGCTTAACCTCACTATCTGTCTGAATATCAAACATCTTAGGCATAACATGGAACAGGTATTTTTCATCAAGTATTGATATATTGAACTTTAAGTCCCTACTTAATATGATAAAAAAAATTTAAAAATTAGAATATATTTTAAAAATAGGCATAAAGAATTATATACTTCTTATGTTTACAGTTGCTAGGTTTTTCGGCAGGCCATTTCTCCAACGTAATGGAAGAAGTGGAGGGGAATTTCGTAACGGCTCCAGTTAGGTTAGTGCCTGGGATGAATTCTGCGACTGTACTCCTGTAGAAGGTCTTTTGTAAGCCACCATTCTGTTGGCACCTGTGCTTATGCATTTTAAGTTAGTTTTCCTTTCTTAGGCTTTTGACAGAGCATTACAAACATTTGAAAATATTGAGAAATCAGATTTAATATTTAAGTGATAGCCAAAACACAGATTTTCCAAGAATTTTATTAAATGGTCATGGTACAGTTTTCAGACATCAGTACTAATATGTACTGGAAGGATGAGGCCGGAAGATGCCAAGTTTGAGGTCAACCTGGGTAACACTGGAAACCCCTCCCCCAAAAGAAAAAATTGCACAACATCCCCCTGAAATTTAATTTTGCCTTGATTGTTATTCTGTGCATACACTGTGCTTAGCGTTTTTACTTAAAATTTCCTCCACAAGAATTTGAGTCGTTTTCTTTGTGTGTGTGTGTGTGTGTGTGTGTGTGTGTGTGTGTGTAAAGAAAATGGCAATTCTAAAGAATTCTTTAGAATATATATATATATATTTGGTGGAAGCGGGGGTTGAGTTCAGGCCCTTGCGCTCTCCAGGCAAGCACTTATTCTACTGAGCCATCTCCCCGGCCCCTCATTTATTGACAATAGCCTACAGGATTATTTAAATGAAACCAATCACAATTCAGTTAAACTACTCATGAAAGAAATTTAGATTGTTCTAGATTAAAGCTAACCTTACCTGTGCCTTGGACCAGTTAACCAAAATCTCATTTGTGATGAATATAAAATAGGATTTATAGTCTCTTATCTCAGAATGATAAAAGTTAATACAAATTATAGAGCCATACACAATAGATGGATCTTTTCAAAGATAAAATATTTAATGAGTTTATACTTATGTTTGATTTTTTTTCCTTAGCTTTAATTTGAAATAATTATGGATAATCAGGAAACAGTGAATGTGCTATTCACTCAGCTTCCCTCAAGGGTAAACATGTTAATTACAGTATATGGCAACAAATGACATGGTGGCTCCCACCTGTAGTCCCAGCACATAGGAGGCTGGGGCAAGAAGATCAGTGAGTTTGAGGCCAGCCTGAGCTATATAACAAGACCTTTTCTCAAAAATCTAAATGAATGTCTATGATACAACAATCCTAGGAAGTGTGAAAAAATTAATCACTGGTCTTAGGGTTCAGTAGTTTGTACCCTGTGCTGCCTCTTTAAGCATTACCCCATGGTGGTACCACACCTTTACTGTTGCACCATTATTAAAATAAGGGAGAAAATAACCATAAGAAATAGCATTATCTGTAATGCATAAAAAATACATTACCTGGAAAGTAATGATAGAAAAAAAAGAAAATATATTACCTATAAACAGTGTTTTCTATATACATGCATATATAATTGTATATATTTTCTATCAGCTATAAATATGATAAAGTATAACTAAAGGTAAGCCTATA